TAGCCTGGGACAGTTTCTTTTGGCTTTGTGAGCTGAAGGATCCATGAGAATCAGAGGTCTGATGCAGAACTGTTAGTTACATAGCTGCTGCATATCCTCAGCCACCATCAAGTGACCCATGACCATGCAGGGACCCTGGCAAAGCAGAGGCTGGGGGACCTCTGAGGTTATGCCAGTGCTTATTGACAGTGCATGAAAGTCCCAAATTATGGGTTGTTACCAGAACAGGAATAGAGGAGAAATTACCCAATCAAAACTCTAGTCCTGGTGGCCATGGTGACAATTAGGGGTTCTCTGACTTTTGGATGGATTTCCTCTCACTTCCTACAGATCAGGAAGTGAAGGGGAAAAAAACAATGGAACACACGGTAAATGGCAAAAAAAAACCTGACAGAGGATATAACCCTCCCTTACTCTAGAGTAGACAAAATGAAAAAGAAAGCTTTGCCTTCAGTTCTACTTTAAGAAAATCTTAATCTTTAAAATAATGAAATATGTCCTTATGCTTTATGTCCTTTAACTCTTTGGCGGAATTGTGTTTATTAGTAAAGGACCCTGTTTATGATGCGTGAAGTCCCATCATCCTAGGGGGGTCACTCAGCAGTTGAGGTTTCACACTTCTTCTAAAATCATCACTACAATGCAGAAACTGTCATTTCCAAGCACGGCTTTTTCAGTTTTATTTTCTCTTTTCCCTGTCTGTCCTTCAGTGTCACACTCCGATCTGCAGACAATGCTGAAACATCTGCCTGAAAACATCTTGGTCCTTCTAATATTCCCTGCTCTTCTTATTACAGGTCAGTACTCTGTATTGTGTCTGTGTCGCTATTACTGATTTATCTGGAATTAACACGTTAATCTGAATCAGTCTTGAAATCAGGCTTCGGTCATCTATTGTACAGCAGCGCTCAGACTGGAGAGGGGAGAGCATGAAGAGCAACTCAAACTCATGCATGCATGTTGACAGGAGGAGAGAACAGAGTGAGCAGGGTTGCTAACATATCAATGTGTTGTCACTCCTTTATTGTCCAATTAGCTGCAGGTGGGTAGGTGACAGGGGAGTTAAAAATGCTGATTTCTGTACTGATCTGAAATGAGATGCATTGTTGTCTATGGGATAATGCACACAGCGAAGTAAGGCCTCATGCACACAGGACGTTAAAAAAAAAAAAAAAAACTCTCCTAGAAGCCATTCTCTGACAGCAGCGTTTTTGCAGAAAAAATGCCTGATGCTTGAAAAAGTATCTACTGCTTTTACAAGTGTTTAGGCGCGTTTACAAGCGTCAAGCTCTTGGATGTTAATTCATTTAATTGGCTCGAATGATAATTTGTTTTGGCCATTGAAATGAATTAACACTCAAGCGCTAAATGTGCCTAGCATAGGAGGATGCATATGCAAGTGCCTGGCTGTGCTGTCACTGGCTCCAGAACATGCCAATCAGCAGGTCCCAGCCAATGATTCATGGCCGGGACCCACCCATTGGCAGGGCAAGTAGCAAGAGAGAGTTCTTTCCTTCGAGAGGAGGAATGTGGCAGTTTTTGTCTCCCTGCAAAGCAGGGAATAAAAACCGTTACATCGCTCAGTAAAAGCACCACACAGTGACCATAATCACTAGCTAGGCACACAGTTAGCCCTTTGATCGCCCCTAGATTTTAACACCTTCCTACCCAGTGTCTTTAGTACAGTGACAGTTTATTTTATTAGTACTGATCACTGGATAAGTGTCACTGGTGATGTCAGTGTCAGTTAGTGTGAGATTGCCTGCCATACTATCAGCCACTGATTAATAGTATAAACAAAAAATCCAGTATATATACCATAGTTTGTGAATGCTATAACTTTTACACAAACCAATAAATATATACGTATTGGGATTTTTCTTACCAAAGACATGTAGCAGAATACATTTTAGCCTAAAATTATGAAGAAATTCAATTTCACATTTTTTTTATTGGATATGTTTTTAGAAAAAAGTAAAAAATATTGCAAAAAATGTTTTAAAAATTTGTGGTCTTTTTTCATTTAGATAATAACAAACTAAAAACCCAGTGGTGATCAAATACCAACAAAGGAAAACTCTATATGTGTGGGAAAAAAATATATATATATTTAATTTGGGTACAGTGTTGCATGACTGAGCAATTACCATGAAAAACATTAAACATACAAATACGTTGATTCTGCCAGAAATGTAGTGTCCTTGACCCCCGAAAAAAAGAAAGCACAAACGTCCGTATTTTTTGTGTAAACTACTATTCCCATCAATCCAACATGTAATGGAGAGTAACAAAGAAATACATCTTTTAATCACCTCAGTACTGACATGTTTCACCCCCTTCATTACCAGGCCACGGTTCAGTTTTCAATTTGACTGACAATTACCCCATCATGCAAATTAGTTTTGTATCAGTTTTTTTTTTTTTTATTGGCAGAGATATCTTTTGGTGGAATTGGTTAAAACTACTGGGTTTTTTTTAACCTCCCTGGCGGTATTCCCGAGTGTAGCTCGGGGTAAAGTTTCCGTACCAAAAGCAGTAATCCCGAGCTACACTCGGGCTTACCATGCGGCGTTGCACAGGGATTCCCTACAGCGCTTACCTTGTCCTTCGCTCCCGCGATGCATCCCCTGCAGCGTCCCCGGCCATCTCCTCCGGCCGATGCCAGCATCTGGCTTCCGTGTTCTTGTCCCTGTGACGTCGGGACGTACGGGCGCCGGAACCGGCGGCAAATTTGAAAATTTTTAAAAAATGACATTTTTTTTAAAACGATTATTTCATAGCAAAACATTCCTGTATCAAAGCATTTCACATACATTTTATCCCGAGTGCTTTGTCCTGTGCCCTGCCTTCATTTTTACTGTTCTTTCTGCCTGGAAACTTAGAAAAGTCCACGGCGTCCAAAAAGCGTCCCTTTAGGTCAAAACCGGTTTTAGACCGGCTAGAGAACAGCGATAGTAAATCAGAACCACTTGCAGAATTGAGTGATAATGATTCGTGGGGGAAATTCCTCATCAGACACTGAAAACGATTTTGCGACTTTGCTCAGTGATGTGCGAACTTGGCGCTATATTTCAAATTTCAGTGTTTTTGGTTTGATTATATTATTGAATTAAATTTATTATTATATTATTATTATTTTTTATGATTATTTATTAAATTATAATTTATGATTTCGTGTTTCAAGTTTTATCATACCCGGGATGTTTACTAGACTCTTGTTAGGACAGATTTCAGTGAGTTATTCCTAAATTACAGAATTAAATGGAAGTATCCTCCTGCGCTTTATATAGAAAGATTCCCTATACTATCCCTATATTGTGTGTGTATATATATATATATATGAGCTTTTTTTCACGGAGCACCATTCGATAGGTATAATAGGCACTTTAGCATTTCATTTTGATAATAACAGCGGTTCACTAATTTTTGTTAACATTCCTAAATTACAGGCCTACAATAAAAAAAAATACATATTTCCATGCAAAAAAAATGGTACCGCTTTTGGTACAAAATTCCTGACATAATCATACAGCCAGGGAGGTTAATAATATCTAAAGCTAAAAAGACCAAAACATTTTGAAAAAATGTTTTCCCTAAAAGTTGAATTAAAGCCAAAAGCAAACATTATATTGCAGAGTACCAATTCTTAGATGTGGTGACTGCATTGTGTTCGGTGCACACAAAGTGGATTTATATTCTTTATGGCTATTGAAGGAAATATACAGTATATTTGAAGGAAAGTTTTTGTTCCTGGAGCTTAACCACTTTCCATCCAGCACATGTACATAAACAGCCCCCGCATTCCCTGCCTATGCGTGCTCCCTGGGAGAGCACAGCACCGCGATCTGGTGCGGACACAGGGGAACACTGATCGCTGTACAGGACCTCTGTGTGAGGTCCCGATCATGTGATCACTGATTGGCCAATCAGTGATCACATGAACAGTAGTAAGCACTTCCTGAAATCATTGCTTACTACGTGTGAAATCTGTGAATGATCACCAAGGTCTTGCTTACTACGTGTGAAATCTGTGAATGATCACCAAGGTCACATGGTACAAGGCTATTCATTTATGTGACAAGCTGTGACCAATCACAGCTCTCACAGTATTTCTCAATGGCTGCAAGAATGCAGCCAGAGAGAATGAGAAATGATTGCTTTTATAGCCTTTATTGGTGTAAAAGCAATCAGTGTAAAAAAAAAAAAAAAAAAATCTTCATCACCCCCCACAAGTAGTACAGTGTCACTAGGTGTATGTGTACTGCTAGGGTGACAGTACGTAAAAAAACCCCATAAATAATAATATTTAAAAAAAATAAAAATGTAAAAATACATTTAGAAAAAATTATAATTTTGGGTTAAACTAATTTGGGTTATTTTTTTTTTTTTTTACTAAAAAGATAGATGAATACATTTTGGTCAAGATTTATCAAGAAAGATTATTTACTTGCAAATAAGTTTTTTTTAAATGTTTGGACTTTTTCGTTTATATAGCAAAAAAATAAAAATCCCAGTGTTGAATAAATACCACCAAAACAAAGTTTTATCTGTCTCAAAGAAATGCTAAAAAAGTAATATGGGTACAGTGTTGCATGACCGCGCAATTGTCATTCAAAGTGTGGTAGCACTGAAAGCTGAAAATTGCCCTGGACAGGAGGGGGGTAAAAGTGTCCGGACTTGAAGTGGTTACGAAAGTGTAAAAAAAAAAAAAAAAAGCAGCTAGTCCAAAGTGGCAAACCCTCCTATTCCACTGAAACATAATCAAATATACAAAGGTGCAGAGCTAATATTGATCTATGTGAACAAAACAAATATGTGAACTAATAACCAATATAATAAATAATAAATAAAGTCCAAAAGAATAGAGTGAAATGTCCAGCAATAATGTGTGAATCAATGGTGATCAACGATGTGAAGTGACATCTGTGAAGGGTACATCTGTGACAATCCTCCACCAATATGCACTCACCAGAAGCAAGAAATAAACAGGCTCTGTATAGAAATCCCTCCAAGAGATGTATCGTTTCCAATGCAGGAAATAGATATATAGCCAAATGCAGGGGCGGACTGGCAACTCATGGGGCCCCGGGCAATAGGGGATCATGGGGCCCCTGTGTCCTTGCCCAAACTCAAAAAAGCCTATGAAAAAGGTATCAGGGGCATCTCATGGGGCCCCCTACTGACCCCGGGCCCTCGGGCAGTGCCCGAGTTTCCAAATGGTCAGTCCGCCCCTGGCTAAATGACATCCACAGCGACTGGGCTCTATATACTGTAGGCATTCCTTGAAATGGGCCTCCCCTGCACCGGTCAGCGATCGATCCAAATGTGGCAACTCCTAAAAGGTCTCCGGGCTCTGGTATGTGAGCTCCTTTTAGGATTTGCCACATTTCGATTGATTGCCGACAGGAGCAGGGGAGGTCCATTTCAATAAGGTTGGCTATTATCCAGTCTTAAGTCTCATTTATATGTCCCAAATGGCCATGGAAGGGAAAGTATATCATGAATATCTACAGCCGGGATCCCAGGTGTTCCAATCTTTGTTAGCTGCTCAGTCTATACACCTGAGTGATAGGCTGAAAAGAGCCAAGACTGGCCGCTGTTGTAAACATGTATCCGCATGTATCTGCACATCCAGTGGTTACCTACTGTTAGGGACAAATGCCCGACCATGGATGGAGAAAGACTGCGTCCAAGGGCAGACATATATCCCTACCTGCAGGTAACCACAGGATGTGCACATACATTATGACGCCAGAAGTATTGGGCCCGCCCTCCAAATCATTGGATTCAGGTATTCCAATCCCCTCCATGGCCACAGGTGTACACAATCAAGCCCCTAGGCATGCAGACTGCTTCTACAAACATTGGTGAAAGAATGGGTCGCTCTCAGGAGCTCATTGACTCCAAGCGTGGTCCCGTGATAGGTTGCCACCTGTGCAGAAAGTCCATCCGTGACATTTCCTGGCTACTAAATATTCCACACTCAACTGTTAGTAGTGGGATTATAACAAAGTGGAAGCAACTGGGAAAAACAGCAACTCAGCCACCAAGTGGTAGGCCACATCACATGACAGAGCGGGGTCATGAAACAGCACATTGCGCAGAAGTCACCAACTGGCTAAAGACCTCCAAACTTCATGTGGCCTTCAGATTAGCACAACAGTGCGTAGAGAGCTTCATGGAATGGGTTTCCATGGCCGAGCAGCTGCATCCAAGCCTTACATCACCAAGTGCAATGCAAAGCGTCGGATGCCGTGGTGTAAAGCACGCTGCCACTGGACTCTAGAGCAGAGGAGACGTGTTCTCTGGAGTGACCAATCATGCTTCTCTGTCTGGCAATCTGATGGACGTGTCTGGGTTTCCCCAAATAGAAAGTCTATACCTCTTCACCTACCAGACCTCAAATTCAGCAAGGCACAGAGGCAGGAAAACTTCTGCCTTTCAGGTCTCCACATAGCTGTGTCATGGGGGATGTAAATGATAGGCTGGAAATGGACAAAATGACATAGTGTCACTCTTCCCTTAAGAAGACCTCCTGAGCTGGACCTAGAAGAAAACCTGGGACATTGCTGGAGCATGGAGAGGGTACATGATCATTGGTAATTTTTTTTTTTTCTTATGGGGGATAAAAAAAAATGGAGTTCTACTTTAAAATGTTGACTTTGTGTCTTTACAGGAGGAGATGTCCCTATCAGAGTGAATGGCCTTATAAACCAATCCATCCTCCTTTCACTGCCTGGGGATCTACCACATCCTGTACAACATGTCTACTGGACCTTCCAGTCTTTCACAATGGCCATTTATAAAAATAATCATCTTACTGTAACAAGGGATCAATTTACAGGAAGGCTGGAGATCCTGGATAATGGAAGATCACTGAGGATTGGACAGTTGGGACTGGAGGACAGTGGACTGTATACTGTAATTATACATTTTACTGCCAAAACATTCCATGATGCATCCTACAATCTCATTGTGTATGGTATGTGATCATCTGCGTATTCTATGGGTTAACTGGGTCTCTTTGTGGTGAACATCCTGGTCTTGGCCGTAGTGTAAAGCACACTTACCTGTCCAATTAGGTTGTAATACACAATGGGGAGCAATTAACTCAAGTATGCAAAAGCTTCAGTTATTTTGTGTATTTTTAATAAATAATATATGAGAGTTCTTCAAGAACTTTTCTTGCTTTTTTTAAATATATATATATATATATATATGTGGAAACATTTTGAAGACCCCTGATATATCCCCACTCTGCATTACACACACCCAAAAAAATATATCTATACAAATAAAAACCCCAAAATAAGCTGCTAAACATAAATCCCTCAATGAAAACCAAAAATTGAATATATACTTGTAGGCAGGTGCAGGCTGACCTCCTTACATGGGTGGCACTGTTTCCTTGCGATTGTGCAGGGGGTATGTTCAGGAGGCAGGCTGTGAATGAGCAAGCATCATGTTCAGGAAACAGTCTGTGATTGAGCAGGGGCATGTTCAGGAATCAGGCTGTGATTGTGCAGGGGCATGTTCAGGAGGTAGGCTGTGATTGAGCAGAGGCATGTTCAGGAGGTAGGCTGTGATAGAGCAGGGAGCATGTTCAGGAGGTAGGCTGTGATTGAGCAGGGAGCATGTTCAGGAGGTAGGTTGTGATTGAGAAGGGGCATGTTCAGGAGGCAGGCTGAGATTGAGCAGGGGCGTGTTCAGGAGGCAGGCTGTGGTTGAGCAGGGAGCATGTTCAGGAGGTAGGCTGTGATTGAACAGGGGCATGTTCAGGAGGTAGGCTGAGTTTGAGCAGGGAGCATGTTCAGGAGGTGGGCTGTGATTAAGCAGGGGCATGTTCAGGAGGTAGGCTGTGATTGAGCAGGGAGCATGTTCAGAAGGTAGGCTGTGATTGAGCAAGGGCATGTTCAGGAGGCAGGCTGTGACTGAGCAGGGGCGTGTTAAGGAAGCAGGCTGTGGTTGAGCAGGGAACATGTTCAGGAGGCAGGCTGTGATTGAGCAGGGAGCATGTTAAGGAGGCAGGATGTGATTGAGCAGGGAGCATGTTCAGGAGGCAGGCTGTGATTCAGCAGGGAGCATGTTCAGGAGGCAGGCTGTGATTGAGCAGGGAGCATGTTCAGGAGGCGGGCTGTGATTGAGCAGGGGCATGTTCAGGAGGCAGGCTGTGATTGAGCAGGGGGGTGTTCAGGTGGTAGGCTGTGATTGAGCAGGGGCATGTTCAGGAGGAAGGCTGTGATTAAGCAAGGGCATGTTCAGGAGGCAGGCTGTGATTAAGCAAGGGCATGTTTAGGAGGCGGGCTGTGAATGAGCAGGGGCATGTTCAGGAGGCAGGCTGTGACTGAGCAAGGGGTATGTTCAGGAGGCAGGCTGTGATTGAGCAGGGAACATGTTCAGGAGGCAGACTGTGATTGAGCAGGGGCATGTTCAGGAGGCAGGCTGTGATTGAGCAAGGGCATGTTTAGGAAGTGGGCTGTGATTGAGCAGGGGCATGTTCAGGAGGCAGGCTGTGAATGAGCAGGGGGCATGTTCAAGAGAAAGTCTGTGATTGGTCAGGGTGTGTATTAGCTGAATGGCCAGCCAAAGGATGAACACTGACCACACTAACGCAGATTCAAAGCTTCTGTGTTTTGTGTGTTCTGTTTAGGATTGGCCAGCTCAGCCAGGTACTTCAGATGGTAGAAGTACATGAAAATGATAGAGACTATCATTTATAAAATATAACTTGAAGCAACATGTATCAAACGTCTTCAAACATAGTGAGAAACCTCCATGGTGTCCATTAATTCTCCTTCATAATAGAAACTCCCTTTTTCACCCAGCACACTTTTGCTCCTCCACCACCACTTACCTCTCCTTTTGCCTCTCTTTCACTTTTTGCTTTTTTTAGACTCGTTCACACAGCATAAGCCTGTGCAAGGGCCATGACTGGCCACATTGGGAAGGACAGGTGTTCCATGCATTCCTCTGCAGACAGTCCCATTGATGTCCATGAGGATGCAGCAGCTGCACAGACACCGCTGTTTCCAATGTGACAGCTGTGTGGGTGTGCAGCCTCACTGTCTGAATGCCAAGGCACACTGTCTGCATTCAGTGCCAAGCAGCTGCTGCGTCCCAACAGACATCAATAGGACTGTGTGTATGGGGATGAATGGACCACTTATGCATCCCCATACAGGCAAATGCAGCCTTTATTCCCGCGTGAATGAGGCCTAAATGGACACTATGGAAGTTTCCCACTAAGTTTGGAGACGTTTGATACATTTTGCTTCAAGTTGGGACTTTTTCTGTTTTGTATCATAATATCTTGATGTCACTGCACTATGATTTTATAAGTTGCTATAGGATAGCAGTTTACCTAAAGTGTCAATAAAGCCCCATCATTAAAATCTGTTAATAAATTCTGTATTACATGCTGTTCATACTCACTCAGTCACTATGGGATTCTTTTCTCTATTCTGCAAAAAACCTGGTTGATCCTACTGTTCTTTGTCTCCCCCTTTTGTTTATGTCCCCACTGCAGTTGAAGATTTTGAAGAGCAGTGTTGGCAGCTCTGCACATGCTCAGTTTTCAGTATATTCCTTCCCTGAGCATTTCCTCCCTATCATACCTGAGCAGCCCATGTGACTATAGAGTCACACACGTGGGCGTATACACAGTGGTAAATAACAGCCTACTCTCTCCCTCCTCCCCCATGCCCACTAACCAGCTAAACACAATGGGGGTGGTATATTACATCTTGATTGATGGAGGCTTCACTCCCCTGTCATTCTAAGACAAAGGCTGGAGGGGCCTGTGACTGGCAGAAATCCACTTGCACCATATGATTGCCAAAAATAAAGATTTAATTTCAAATATATATATGTATGATAAATTAAAACATTTTATTGATATTAAGTATTTACTTTTACTCTGTATCCCAAAGGCTGTTTTTTTTTATTTTGAACATGTGACCAGCAGCAGAGGACTAGAAGCTCCTCCTGCCACTGTTTCCCTACAGACAGGCCAGGAAAGAGCTGGGTCATGTGACAGCTGTATACTGATTTAAAAAAGGGCAATTTTTAAAATTAAAATTAATAAAATAATTACAGTGCCATCATCCACACACAGAAAGAGAAGGGATAATGTAAATAAATTGTGTGTGTTTAGTATCACTTTAAGTGCTGCATTATCGGCATATATTCTTAGTTATTATGTACTTTATTTTTGCATTGCATTTTTTACTCAAACGCATAGACTCTAGAGGTGTAGTGAAAATGTATAA